CCCTGGAATCCCTCAGGAGGACTGGAAAGTGGTTGCTGGGGAGAGGGAAGTCTGGGTTGACTTCTGCGCCTGCTGCCACCGCGACCCGACCTCGAATAAGTGGAAGAAAATGGATGGATGGATGGACAATAAAAAGACACATGGGATTCAATAAACATAATTCATGTGAATTGAAGTGTCATGTGTAGATTATTTATTTTAAAAGACCACTGTTGTGTTACAGCTGTGTGTTTCCCTGTGCCCTGTGTCCCTTCTCCCCTTCTGTTGTCTCCAGCCCAGGTGAAGCTACTAATTGCACAACGAGGTACACCTGGCCTCAGTGCTTAAAAGGCCAGTGCTGGCTGCAGAGAGGAGAGGCATTTTGAGTTGGGACTGCTGTGCTGCTCAGTCAGGGATGTCTGTTGTCTCTTTTGATCTTTGTTATCATTTAGTGTGTCATTTTGTAATAAATCCCTTTGTTTTGACTTTTGTTAAGGTGGTTAGTGTCTTTAATGGGTCAATGTATGGTTTGCTGTTAGCCCCGTAGGCCGCCTTTACGGTGGGGCGTAACAGTTGTATCAAGTGAATCATAAAATATTTATTAAATATTTCATTCTTTATTCAACAACATATTGTAGGCTGATGTAAACCCTATAATATTATCTATTTAAATTAAATACAATAACCATCATTTTGCCCCGGCCAGTCAGCACTCAAATGTGCGTATAGAGTGTTCTTAAGTGTTCATAACTTCTGTTCTTACCAAAGAACAAAAAAACATTGATGAATCCAAAATCTGCTAAAAAATGTTGTAAGTGATTAAAGTCCAGAATTGTTCTTAAGACCGGTTGGTGAATGAGGCCCATTGTTACTAGGTCTGTGATGTCCTTTAGGTGTGTTTTAGATAGCTCTGAGTGCTTGATATTTGCTTTAATTCAATGAAATATCCTCAAGAAAACATGAAAACCATGTAAAGGAGTGGTGTACTGGCATCAGCCACAGCTCTTCTTCTGGAAATTGTACCCTCGAAAAGACGAGTCAGTCTCCTCCGTCATTGTTATTGACAAAGCTGTTGTTTTAATCCCGCCCGTCTTGATTCTGATTGGCCGGTGAGGGAGAAGTGACATTGACGAGCTGCTCCAAAAGTTTGAACTGTTTTTAACTAAGAGCGCTGTGAACAAACAAACATTTTAGCACTCAGGGCGCTGAGCACTGAAAACACTGAACTCCATTGGTTTGTATTGAAAACTCTGTCTGTAAAAACAGGGCCCTAGGGACTGAAATTAATGAATTCATTTTCAATAAGGTGAACTACTTTGTCCCTTTAGGCGTACACTCTGCAGCATCTCCCTGTAACCTCAGTGATGGAAAAGAACGACTCCACTGCGCCTTTGAATGTCTCATTTACTTAAAGAACTACACGGCTCAGTTGATGAGGCAAAAGTAATATCCACCATGTGACTTCAAACATTTTTTCACAGTTCAGCTGTTAAGTTCATTTTGTAACCTTGATCCACAGGAAGCTCGTTATTTTCTTTCAAAATAAAAGCAGGTATTCAAACAGAGAAGTTTTTTCTTGTCACTGTAACTTTGCTAAATGTTTGCTAAATTCAATGCTGCAAATATTGCTAAGTGTCTCGAATAATTGCATGAATTTGCAAATAAAGATTGGTTGATTGATTGAGAGAATAAAGTACCCTTAACTTAAGTTAAATAAAAAAAAAAGAATCAAAAAATGCTGTCGAATGAAAGATTATTGAGTTTCAAACATGCATTACATGGTTACAGCTAAAGTCACTTTGAATACACAAAGGTCATCTTGGGCTCAAATAGGGCTGATGAATATAGTTATGTTTTTAAATACATGAAAAGGGTAGGCATGTTTGAAGAGAATTGGACAGTGTTTTTCTTTGTGTCTTGTAAGATGTTGTGGTAAACATTTCAAAACACAATGGCAGCAAGCCCCTCAATCTTATATTTGTAATTTGTCATATGTTTCAGGTTACTCCCTGTCAAATGTCATACCTCTATCACTATTTATGGATTGATAGTATCTTTATATGTGCAGTGACATCATGTAGACTAAAGTCCCCGAGTTGGATGTGGTCATTATCATTTTGAGATGGCCAAAGGTTTATGCCAACAGAAAATAATGCTGAAAAGAAGCAAAATACCTGCTGAGGGCTGGACCTGGCTCACAGCCTTTTTACATTCCCCTTACCCATCATGCATTGTATCCATCCTGTATTGCTCCTGGCCTTGGAGCCAGAGGAAGACATGTTATTTTGAAATGTGTCTAAAATATGTTAAAAAAGTGATGACTTCATTTTATTGTATTTATTTATTTTGTCAATGTGTTTCTGCTCTTCTCTCTTTGTCCTCACAGTGTGGACTAACCATGACCTTACTGAAATATCTGATTGAGAAAAACAAAGAAATAAAATGAAGAATCAATCCAGACACCAGTAAAATAATCCCTCAGTTCATCCTGTGTGTGATGGAGGTGAATGACTCAGTGAGCTGTGGTTTACTGCTGTCTTCCTGTCACAAACATTATCTGACTTCTGCTCATCTGTTGGTTTTTGTTCAGCCTGCTCGGATCATTTCTCACTGTGGGTGTTAACCCTTTTCCAACAGGAGCAGTAGTATGTGGCTGAATGAGAGGAATTAACCTTCTGGATCTGCAGCTCAACGCCGTTCTGTTTGATCACAGCTGAGAAATAATCTTTCTGAGGATGATTGTAATCATCTTTGTTCACTACACCATCACTCTTATCAATCCTCAGAATCCTTGTGAATGTTTCGTTGTCTTTTTTCTGGTACCAGAACACATAATTATAACCTGAATAACACAGGTCTAAACGTTCACAGCTGAAGGAGACACTTTCTCCAACTCTCCTGGTCAGTGACAAACTGTCCTGTTTGAGCTCTGTTGTCATGGCAGCCAGCGCTATAGAGAAACAGACAGATGGAGGTTAGTGAGACAGTTCTTTTTTTCAGCTCTGTCTCCAATTAATAACACTTTTTTCACCTCCTCGATGAGGTAATGTTAAAACCAGATCAGTATAATCCCACAGTTTAGTTAAAGTCATTACACAGAGACAGGGCTGGTTTATTACAGGTTGAGTTTGTTGGCTCCTGATTGGCTGGAAACACTCACCTGAGCTCACACAGCACAGAGCCACAGCAGGGAGGAGAAACATTTTGTTGTTTTCCTCTGGTGAACCTGACGAGAAGTGAGGCCAAACCAGGACGAGCTGCGGGGTCAGACTGAGCCGGGCGGTTTCTAACAGGTCCTCAGAACTCCCATCAGCCCCTGCTGCTGACTGATGATTGACAGCTGGGCTGGAGCTGCTGTGTGGTTTTCTGCAGAGTCTGAGGTTTTGAAGGAGGGAGGAGGCGGAGCTAAGTATCAACAGACAGGATACAGTAACCATAGCCTGTTTCCTGTGTGTTAATAGACAGGTGTTAATGTGAACACACACTGATCTCATCACTGATATGAATGTATTTAAAACTCTTTATGTACCCAAGAAGGAACTCTTATCATGAAGAGTAGAAAGATTAAAGTTTGTGTTCAATCTTTAAAGTAGAATCAGAAATACTTCTAGATTTGGTCCTTACAGTAGCTCTCACACACAACATAGCAGTAGAAATGTAGAGAAATAAACAGAATGAAATAATGAATCTAAATAAGAGATAAAACAATAAGAACAAGAAAGAGTGTTACAGTTATGTAACAAGCAGCATGTTAGTAAAGAATAAGCTTTGTATAAAGTGCAGATTATTAAATAATGTATCCATGTATTAAAGCACAGAGAGTATTTCTCAGTAGTTTCAGTATTGCACATTGTGGTAATGGACAGATTATTGACCGTTTAAGATTCAGAGTACTGCAAAGTTTAAATAAATAACAAATGATGAATAATGGAGGATCAATCATTCAATCAAACATTTATTTATCCTTGAAAGGACATTGAGGTTTCTCCTCACTCCCAATGCCATGAATGTGCTCCTGAGTCTGACCAGCACGTCGTGGAGGAGGTGGGAGACATTCTCCAAGAGGACATGCAGCTTAGACAGCATCCTGCTTTCTGACACCGCTCCATCAGAGAGTCCAGCTCCATCCCCACAACGTCGCTGGCCTTGAGGATCATTTTGTTGAGTCTGTTGGAGTCCACTACCCTCAGCCTGCTGCCCCAGCACACAACGAAGAAAGGATAGCACTGGAAAGCACAGACTCATAGAACATCCTCAGCATGGTCCTGCAGATGTTAAAGGACCTCAGCCTCCTCAGGAAGAAGAGTAGACGGCCTCCATGTTCTTGGACCAGTCTCAGTTTATTGTCCAGATTTACTCCCAGTAATCCTCCACAATGACCACACAGATCCACTACCAGGTCCTTAAATGTTTTCTTTCTTTTTCTGTAGGCCTAATAGAAGACTACGGTATATCAGCCATTAGCCATTATTATGAAAATGTGTTTCTTAATTTTAATTTCATAGGTTTAAATTATGTGTTTAATATTTATTCCTCTGAACTGTAAAATGTTTCTCTTTCTTGATTTATATCTGACAGCAGATTATCACAAACACTATCAGACTGCCGGCTCAAACTTTGACCTTTGAACTACCCTTTAATAATTGTGCTTTACAAAATAAACTTTGATTGATTGATTAAAGTTTGGCAATGAATAAAAAAAGAGATCAAGTGAACCCAAATGTTTGTTACATTGAGTAAAGTTGCAGAGGTGGTGATTCTAATAAAAATGAAATGATACATATATTCATTGCTTGATACCATGGCAACACAAATAAAAGTCCTAGACCTGATATTGAATAGTTTCTTGTTTTTAATCTAAATTGCAGTCAAAGTCCTGCACATTGTCTACAACAAAAAAGTAGCAGGTATACACACCGGCTGAGTCGTATCTATAAAGCTCTTCTTGGTTTAGTTCCTTCTTATTTATGTCCATACCTTCAAAGAACAAGGAGACACTATGCCTTGTGTTCCTGGGAGGTTTTTAAACTGTCTGTTCCCAGTGGTGATTAGTCTGTTGGGGCCCTAGGCAGAAATTCATTGGGGGCCCCTCCAACCACCATTATGTCTGCCAGTGTTCAGACACTCTTCCTCTTTCTTTTTTCACTCCCACACAGATCATTCCTCATCATTTTCCTTTAGTGGTTTAATTGTGATGAAGGAATACTACATGAGAGGCTTAGCAGGGCAACGAGAGTGACTGCTGTCAAATGGGGCCCTATTAGGGAGGTTTCCTACTGTCATTGCAATATTTGCACATTTTGAGCTACTGCTGTGGTTTTAAGTTTGTCTGCCTTGGGGGCCCCTTTCTGACCTGGGGCCCCAAGCAGTTGCCTTCCTTGCCTGTTGACAAGCAGCGCCTCTGTCTGTTCCTCGTGTCCACACTGACCTCGGGAAAAGAGCGTTTAGTTTTGCTGATCCCTCTGCAGGGATCTTTCTCCAGAATGACTTCTAACTGGAAGATCTCATTTCACTTGAAGCCTTTGGTGTTACGTGTAGTGTTTGTGTTTTCTCTCTCTCCTGTGTGTGCTCCCCAGGTGTTGCTCCTCAGCCTCAGAGTGCCCAGCCACACCTGTGGCTAATTACTAATCAGGAGCAAAACTATAAAGAGCAGGAGAGAGGAGGCTGCCAGTGGGTCATTCATCTACCTGTGTGCTTGTCTTTGACGTGGAGAAAACCTGTGATCCTTCTGTGGAAAGAGTGTTTTGATTGAGGCCTTATTCTTTGTATCGTTTGTTAGTTTTCTGATGTTTGATTAAGATTGATTGGCTTCTCTATTGTTTTGTGTTTTATAGAAGAAGCTTGTTTAGTGTTGCACTTTATGTTTAGTTTGTTAATAAATCCTTTTAAACTTTGCTCATATTTAGTTCCTATTTCTTTTCCCTGGGTTTTAATTTATTGTTACTCCCCTCATCCCCTAGTCATCTTGGAGAACGTAGAAGACAGAAAACGTTTGACCGTTGGACTGTGTCTGTTTTTTTTTTAATAGAAATCTGTGATCACAACTTCTGCACTTTATCTGTAAACTGATTAGTACATTGTAATTGTTGTCTGCTCTTAACTTATTGTTTGTGAACTGTTTATTAATCATGGCATGTTTATTATGACGTGAGCTGCTGCCCTCTTGGCCAGCTCACCGTCGTCAAAGAGATCTTGATCTCAGTGGGTTCATTACATACAATCAAATAAAAACATGTGAGAAGATAATGGGAAAGCTTTGGTTCTCATTAAAAAAATGTTCTACTTAGAAAAATCAGATTGTCAATGCAGATTGTGAAAAGTTTTTATCTTATTTTACTGATAAAGTGATGTCAATCAGAGCCTCAATTACCCCAAATGTTAGCTGCTCTGACTCCCTTCACCCTCAAGATAGAGTTCCAGTTTTATCCATTTACTTCAGCTGAACTTTTAGAAACAGTATCACACATGAGAGTGTCTCCCAACCAGTGGTGTAGTGGTGCCTAAAGAAGTGGGTATAATCTTTTTACCCACAATGTTTTTATTAAGTGTCCGTCCAGCAGAGGATAAAGAGCCTCTGTTATAAACAATGACATGTAAGACTATTCTCACAGATTAATTTAGCACGTACTTGCAAAGCCGAGACGGAGTAGGAGGGTGATCCCTTCACCACCCTAAGAACAAAATGCAGCACACTACTGAATATAGTCAGTCAATCAATGGTGTGAATCAGAGGAGATTTATAAGTGGGCATACTCCGTATACTCTGCACTACACCAGTGCTTCCAACCCTATTGATGTGATACCAACCAAGTTTTTACTCAAAGGAATGGACTCTGTCGGGCCCTGGCTGCTTTCAATTTTTAACAGTTCTCTGTCCAAGGGTTGGGTCCCTGACTATTTTAAAACTACTAGACCCCCCTCCCTGCCTCAGAACTACAGGCCAATTTCCAAAATGCCTTTTATTTCCAAGATTTTAGAAAAGATTGTGTTAAAACAATTTCTCGATGTGCTGGAAAATAATTGCATTTTTGAAAAACTTCATCAGTTTTCAGGAAATTTCACAGCACTGAGACCTTGTCCTGGTACTCTTGGACCTTAGTACAGCCTTCAACACATTTGATCACAACATCCTGTTGAACAGACTAAAGCACTGGGTCAGGGTTTCTGGTACAGCATTAGACTGGTTTAAATTGTATCTGTCCAATAGAAGGTGCTGTGTGTCTGTTAATCACTTTGCCTCGGCCTTCTCTAGAGTGAACTATGGTGTGCCGCAGGGTTCGGTCTTGGGGGCCATTTTATTTTGCCTATACATGCTCCCCTTTGGGCATATCATAAATAAACACGGTGTGTTATTTCATTTTTATGCTGATGATACGCAGTTGTACCTGCCCATTAAATCTCTAGACCAAGGTATGCCGAGTTCTGTTAAAAACTGCCTGTCTGAGATTAAGAGCTGGATGTCAAGTAACTTTCTGCAAGACTGAGATCAATTTAATTGGACCACAGCACCTTACTAAGCAAATACTGCCATCTGCTGGTCCCCTAGTAAACCATATCAACCCTGCTGCCAAAAATCTGGGTTTCTGGTTCGACAGCAACTTACATTTTGAGCAGCACACAACAAAGCTTGTACAGTCCTGTTTTTATCAGCTCAGAAATATCTCAAAAATTACATCAATTTTAACTGTTAAAGACACAGAGACGATTTTACATGCTTTTATCTCACTAAGTTTTGACTGCTGTGAAAGCCTTTTTACTTGCCTGAACCAAAAATCTAAAGATCAACTCCAGTTGGTACAGAACTCAGCTGCCAGGCTTTTAACCAGAACCAGAAAGCATAACCACATCACTCCTGTTTTAGCATCTTGGAGATCAGGTCAGCCGAATCAGTCATCTCTTTTAAGTCCCTTCTAAAAACAAACTTTTACTGGCGAGCCTTTCCTGAGTTTAGTTGATTTTAAATTGTTACTTAATTTCACCTTTTAAAATTCCTTTAAAAGAATGTGTTTTACAGTTCTTTTAAATGGATTTTATATCTTAAAGTGGTTATTTCTTAATCTTTGCCTTGTTTATTATTCTATGACCTGCCTGTTCTTACATTTGTTTTTGCTGTCCTTGTAAAGCACTTTGTAAATAAAGATTATTACTATTATTATATATTATTCACTACAAAGTGTTATGACCAGCTCGTCTAGGCCGTAACAGTCAAGGGAGAACCACACAGTAAATTTGCTTTTTAGGTTATATTTCACTCAACAACAAACCAAAAACAATGACAGAAGGTTGTCTGTCTTTGCTGTCCAGAGAGAGAGAGAGCAAGAAAGCTGAGGAAGCCTGGCTTATATGTCCTCCCACCAATGGTGTAAGGTAGTCACGACGGGCCCCATTGCAAGCCATGTTGACGGATCCTAGTACACACACACACACACACACACACACACACA